TTTGGTTTGACCTCCAGTCCAATCTAAACCTATTCAGGTCATGACTCTCATGAGATAAACTGCCAAAAATCATGCTTTCATTTTGAGCCCTGGACCTGGCGTCTGTGCCAAGGTAGGTTAAATTTCATTTTTTCGGTCTTCTAATGATTTCAAGCACAACCCTAAAACGACACCGTGTCTTCTAATTGAACACCGATCTGACAGCACAGATACAACAACAACAACAAAAAGTCCCAACGTAACTAGACAATAACCAGCTGCAATATATGTTTCGAAATTTCAATTCAAGGGATGTATGATTTATTGGTTTTTCTTCTTTTACATCACAAGAGAGAAGAAAATAGCATATACTGCCCTCGCGATTGAAGATCAGTTAAGACTTTAGACACCAACAAAGATCAGTTAAGACTTTAGACACCAACAAAGAACACATTAATGTTGAAAACGAGCCTCAGACAAAATGTAGACAGAGAGAGTAGATAAAGAGATTCAGGTTTGAACAAACTTAAGCAACTAGAGAGGGACCAAAGTTACACTTGGTGCATTAATTAGTTTATCAAGAAAAAAACTCTAGCTGGATCTTGCAAGCTCTGGGAAGCATTCGCAGATCCGTGGCGAGTTGCAACCTGGCTTTTTCATCTCTTGCCGAAGCAGAGACTTTGAGCAGCTCAAGACATGGGAATTTCTCCAGGAAACGTTTCACTTGCTTAAACTCTCCAATGGTTCCCCAAAACTTGTGTATCTCTATGACTTTCACAGGACATGACAATAGAAACGAATATCCAGACAAGCACTCGTGACCACCATAGTCATGAAAATAGTGCACGGAGGAACCCTGAAACAAGATGAATGATTATAGATTGAAGACTGCCTGGAGTGTGTATCTATAGGTTTTTTTGAAAAAAATTGCGTTTTGCCAAAATACTTTCAAGGTTTCAGTCATACCTTGATAACAAGTGTCTGTAGATTTGGAGATTTTTTAAGCAGTAATGGCAGAAATTCCCAATATACGTAGTAAGTTTCAATAGATAAACGAGACAGGTTTTCCAACACTGGGATTGCTTCACCAAAGGAACTAAAAATCTGGAGACAAAATAAAAAGTCAGCTAATCATCAACCAATTTCAATATTTGAATCCAAAACCTCAAGAGACATTGTCAGAGTTAACAAGATTTCAATTCTTATAACCCAGGAAGCGAAACAACGATGCATCTATAGTTCCTAAATATCCCCATCATGCTATTTATACTACAGAGGAAGAGAAACAAACTACACTTACCTTACAGGTTTCAAAAGTCGATAAGTCCAGGGTTTCAACATTTCTCAACCCCTTAATCAGATTCACTCGATTTCTTTTTTTGGTACGCATACTTAATTTAAGATTAAGCTTAGCTTCGACAAGGGAGTCGAGATTAACAATTGGATACTCATCCGGAAGAAAAGAAGCGTAGTCTAAGTAGGTAAGACTCGGAGTATCGAAAGTAGTGCTCTTGAAATCGGCATCACAAAAACCTTGACAACCAAGACAGCTAATAGTAAGTCTCTTAAGGGTCGCAGATGACACGGTGCGACACCATTCCCAATCTTCAAAATCCATACCACGAATCAATAATTGCTCAAGCACACGGCAAGCAGAAAGAAGGGCTTCAAATGCATAACCATGATTATTGAACCGGATACAATCAAGAAAGAGACTCTTAAGAGCTGGAAGAGAAGCACTCTCAGGAACCATAGGAATAACAAACCCTCTTCCTAGTTTCAGCTTAACAAGTGTCTTGCAAGTGAAGACAGCTAAAGGCAGTGGAGTCCTACCTTTAGCAAGTACATGAAGATAAAGATGATCCAAGACACCACGACTCAGCACATTACTTATCCAGAGGTTGATATGAGCTGATTCAACATCATGATGATAATTCAGAGTGAATTCCTTAACCGGTGAATTGCCTGACACAGCCAATACTCTATCCACAAAATCACAGAAACTCCTCAAAACATCTAAACCAGTATTCCCATTAAAAAGGTCTTCGTCTTCTTCTACAAAACGAAGATTTGGTGTGAAAGTAAACAGATTCCGCCATCTCTTGGAGAGAAGAGAAGTTGAAGCAGCCTCCTTTGTCGATAGGAATGACAATGTGTGGCAAAGAATCTCATCAGGTAGACCACTGATTCTATCCATCACTTACCAAACCCTAGAAAAACCCTTTTAACACTATTTCGAATGGAGTTTTTAGCGACAAGATCCCAACATCAATCACAGACTCCATAAGCTCCCAGCAGTTTCAACGCCTATACAGTCATACCCAATGCAAAATCTACAAACACAGAGAAGATAAATAAACTCGATTTAACCATAAGAAATAGAGATGAGATTTGAGAATAGAAGAAAACCCAGTTAAACAAGTCAAATGAGAAGCCACCCAAAGCAAATTGACGCCGAATCTGAAAAGTTAATGAGAAGTTATGAGTTCACTTCGGCGTTTACCTAGGTACATTCGCCAAGTCCAACACTTTCAGCTTCTAGAGACGCAAATGCATAATTCGCAACCAAATTAGTGTCGAATTGGGAGGGAAGAAGGCTAAATCAAAGATTTAGGGTTTCTGGAAAACAAAGGCGTTCGCTGAGAAATATGGTTTCTACGGCGGGAATGCCGGGAATGTTATGGTTAGAGTCGGAGCGAAAATGTCACAAGTAAACCATATTACTTGGTTTAAAAACCGGTCCAAACCAAAACCAAAGCAGGCCCGAAATTAGAAGCAAAACCAAACCTAACCAAAGTTTATTCTCTGCGTTGATTTTGTGTGCCACAAGGCCCACACTCAAGTGATGTGAAATTGTTTGCAAATGCTTTAGTTGTTGGGCCTATTTGTGCATGTCGTCGTATCTTCTTCGCTTGTACCGGCGATTCAACACTCCTGCTCTTTTTTCTCTAGTAAACCCCTAAATCTTCCTGAATTTGAGTATTGGACTTCGCGTATGTGCTGAGGACCAAGGTAGGTGCCGTGATTAGCTCACATTTCTGCTTCTACTGAATGTTTTTTTTTGTTCAAAGTTTCAAAATTGATTTGCTTTGTGTGGTTTCGTATTTTTGTTGTTTACTGGGTTTACTTTGTCTGTCTGTTTTCATATTTATTCGCTCATATTTTTGGTGACGAGGGTCATGTTTGAATCTGTTTCTATACGAGTGGAACTGTTTGGTAATTGTTGATTTTGGGAATTTTATGTCTGTATTCCTACAGAGTCGATGGATAGGATCAGCAGTTTACCGGACGAGCTCCTTTGTCATATATTGGCCTTCTTTACGACAAAGGAGGCTGCTTTGACTTCGGTTCTCTCTAAGAGGTGGCTCAATTTGTGGACACTTGTCCCTAATCTTGAAATTGATGACTCTGCCTTCCTTCATCCTGAAGAGGGTAAGCGGGAAAGAGATGGGATTCTTCAGAGCTTTATGGATTTTGTGGATAGAGTATTGGCAGTGCAGGGTGATTCTCCCATCAAGAAATTCTCCCTCAAGTGTCAAACTGGTATTGATACAGGTCGTGTGAATCCTTGGATATGTAATGTGCTGCACCGTGGTGTTTCAGACCTTGAACTTTTCCTCCAGTTTCCTAGGTATGATTACCATTCCTCTTCCGAAGATGAATATTTTCTGCCTAAAGAGATGTTTGTCAGTAGGACACTTGTTGAGCTGAAATTAAGAAGTGAGCTTGGTATTGATTGGTGGCGTGGAAGTAGAGGCACTTTCTTACCAATGCTTAAAAGTCTAGACATTTACACGGATAGGATTTCATTAGGTGAGAAGCTTGAGATGTTTCTTCCTTCTTTCCCTGTGCTTGAGGAACTATACATGGCTGATTTTGAGTGGAGTGAGTCGGATGAATCCGTGTCAAGTACAAGTCTCAGGAAGCTAACTATCTATGGCGGTTTTGAAGTTCAGAATCCAAAGAGCATTTCATTTGATACACCAAGTCTGGTTTTCTTGGACTACTTTGATATTGTTGCAGAGGACTATCCAAAAGTTAACTTGGCAAATTTAGTTGAGGCTCGACTCAACCTTATACTAAGTGATTATCAAATCGAGCTAATACGAGCGCCAAATGATGAAGATGAAGTTTTCCTGCGTCTTAGAAATGTGTGGAAGCTCATGAGTGGCATAAGAAATGTTCAGAAACTTTATTTTTCTGCAGATACCCTCGAGGTCGGTTGCTATTTTGTTTTTCTTTTGTAGTATTTTATTCGTTAGTCTCAAGGACATGAAGAAACCGAACAGCCTCATCTAAATTCTGAAGCATGCGATTCAAATTTATGTTAGTCTGAGTGTACATTTTCTTATGCTAAGTCCTTTCACAGATTTCAATGCAGAATCAAAGGTCATCTCGATGTTTTAAGCCTCCTGGTTTCAAATAGGGAATTAATCCTTGAGATTTTGAAACAAAGATTGCAACAATGTAATGTCTGCTTTTTTTTGTCTTGTTTCAGTTGCTTTCTCTATGCTGTGAATCATTTCCGGTGTTCAACAACCTCAAAATTTTACGTATAAAGAGTGCCGAGGATCGAGGATGGCAAGCAATGCCTGTTCTCTTAAGGAACTGTCCACATTTAGAAACTCTAATCATTGAGGTGTAAACACAACTCATTTTCTTCAAACATTTACAAAGACAGAGTTCATTGTTTGAAGTCCCTTATTGTCTCCTTTCTGCGTTCAGGGTCTATTACACAATGTGACTGATAAATGTGGGGATGCTTGTGACTGCATTTCTCGGGAGGATAAAGGTCGTTCGCTCATATCTTGTCCAGTGAAGAAGTTGCAGATCAAAGGGTTTCGAGGAACAATTAGAGAGAAAGAGATGATAAGGCATTTCTTGGAGTTTTGCCCGTGTTTGGATGAGATGGAGATAGATGCCGAAGAGAATGATTCTACAAACTTTGAAGTGCCTAAAATTTTAAAAATTGTCCCGTATAAGCTCCAAAACGCGGTCTCTACAGAGATAGTTGGACATTGGAAGAGTTCGGCACAATCTGGGGGTTGGTCCCATACCCAGATGGATGAGATGTACTCTGAGGTATATTTGATTACCGTTTTCAATCACAAAAAATTACTACAGCTTTGAATTCACTAATTGTTTTTTTTTTCTTTCTTTTTCCTACAGTTTGCTCCCCACAATAAAGAGTGTATCTATGATATGGCCTTCTTCATGCATGGAGCTTCTTCCCTGGTACCTCCTCTGCCACAAGAGACCTCTCAGGACTCTCTTCAGATGCAACTAGATGCTGCTAAAGCCAAACATGCGGATCTGATGGAGAGGCAACGAGGCTACGAAGCTATGTTCGACATGATTGTCGACCAGAACCCAATGCTAGCATCAGCGTTGAGGGCTCGAGAGGCAACTGACTCAGAGCGAGCAAAGGCGTCGAGTGGTGAGGAGATGACCGAGAAGAAACGGGACTTTGATGCTCTGTTCGATATCATTGCTGAGCAGAAACCAATGCTAGCGTCAGCATTAAGGGCTCGGCGTGCAACAGACTCAGAGCTAGCTGAGACATCCAGGGATCAGGAGATGACCGAGCTCAACCAAGCTACGGCAGCAGATTTTCTTCCTCGAGACGGAGAATAAATTTATGATTGTCAAAACAATTTTTTCTTTTTTTGTATTACTACTACGGTAATAGTTTTATTTTAAAATTTTAGACCTTTTGATAGTTTACTAATTTGGTTCGGTTTGTATTTATTTAGACTGAATTCCGGTTCAGAGATTCTTCCTCTAAGTATGGATCTTTCATATCTTCGCTTCTCTCTCGAAATCCAAACTATCTACCCTCGATTTCGGTCGTAAGCTAACTATTCGCTTCTGTTTCTACTTGTGAGTTAAGAAATGAAAGAAAATATCTTAAGAAAAACAAGCTCCAATGGTTAAGAATAAAGAGAGTATCTTAGGAAAAAAATTCAAATTTTATAAAACAATATCTTCCAATACAAGCAATCATGTTAAAGAACCAAATTCAAGTCTGTCTAAAGATAAAAACTTCCTCTAGGAACTATGAAAAGCTTGATGGAATCAAACAGAGCTAAAACAAGGAAAGCTTCATACTTATGACAAGGAAGTCCATTTCAAGACCAACGAGCTCAAGCAGCTTGAAACCATCTATGTCTGGCATGTCGACATCGCTAATAACAGAATCAAACTTGTTCTTGTTCTCCCTCAACAACTCCAGTGCGGTCTGTGACTGGTTCGTTATTGTAACTGCACAGTATAATAGTGATAATTAACCACAAAGTCTCAGTTTTTACTAATTCAAAAGAGTAAAGTAAGAATCAATGAGCTCTGTGACACATGTGGAGCAATCAAATATATTAGAATTCTCCAAAGTCTCAATTTTTACACAAGTGAAGCAATAAAATCTGAAGCATGGATTTTTAAAAGCACAAAGACTGATTCATACAAACACTAATTCATTCATTCAAACAAGTTCATAACAAGCTAAAGACTTAACTTAAAAACAAAAAGACATAAATTGAAATGCAACAGAAAGACATAAAAGGTAATGGAACAGAGAAACATAAACAGAAATGCAACATAAAGACTTAAATTGACTCAAATTCAATAGAAAATTGAAGTTATCCAACGGATCAAGCAAATGACAAACAAGATTTACTCATTCAATGATTCAATATCTTCACATAGACTAAAACAAACAAGATTGATAATATAGAATTACCTTCAATAAGCTGTTACTTTGTACTCCATGTAATGAACCTCATCTCCAATGAACCTAATCAAAATCGAAGTTATCCAACGGATCAAGCAAATGACAGAGAAAATTTCAATTCTACCATTTTTAATGGAAACAGATGCATCAATTACCAAATAAAAATCTGCTAACATAATAGAACCCTAATTTTGCTTCAACTAAGTCCCAATTTTGAAAATCCTAATTTCGACCCATCGCTAAACCCTAATTCATCACGATCTAGATGTGAAATCCGAGAGATTAGTACCTTTTATCCTGAAGATGATGATAACGACGGTTCAACCAAGCAATTCCGACTTGCAACTTCTCTCAATTCGACGGATTTAGACGTGTTGAAGAGATTTCGCCGGCGGAAGACTCGAGAAATAGAGAGAGAGACTACATCGGAGATTGAGGATAATTACGGATCAAACACCTAATTCCGACTAATTTCTCACTCTCAAATCGACGGATCAAGAGTCATCGGAGAACTTTTTTTGTCGATGTTTCGCGATTAGAGAGAGAGATGAAGAAAGCGTAGACTGAAGAAAACAAAATAACACGAGATTTTTTTTTCCCTTTTTGTTCATTTTTTGACCACTCCACATACAACACGTATACACTTCTTAACATCTAAAAAACATCTTAGTTAAGATATATATCTTAGCATTTCTTTGTGGTTTTGATTATTTTTAATGACTTTTATTCCTAAGATTTTGCTAAGATACTCAATTTTGCAACCATTGGAGATGCTCTTTATACTCCTTTGAAGGTATCTTAGATCATTTTGCGTTTTGGTGGATTCCTATTTGCGTTGTTAAATTTAGATCAATCGTTTCTCTGTTTATGTATGGTTGATGTTCCAATAGCTTTGTGTAGTTCAGAGAATGGATCTCTTCAGCAGTCTAGCAGATGATCTTCTTTGTCATATATTGTCCTTCCTATCCACAAAGGAGGCTGCTTTGACATCGGTTCTCTCCAAGAGGTGGCGCAATCTGTTTGCTTTTGTCCCTTATCTCGAGTTTGATGACTCTTTTTTTCTGCATCCAGAAGAGCGTAAGCGGGAAAAGGATGGAATTTTGCAGAGCTTCATGGATTTTGTGGATAGAGTATTGGCTTTGCAGGGTGATTCTCCCATAGTGAAATTCTCCCTCAAGTGTAAAACTGGTGTTGACTCAGATCATGTGGATCGTTGGATATGTAATGTGTTGGCGCGTGGTGTTTCGAACCTTGACCTTTTCATTGATTTCAGAGATTTATATTGTCTGCCTCACGAGGTTGGTGTCAGTAGGACACTTGTTGAGCTGAGAGTAGGAAGTGAATTTGATATTTATTGGTGGGAGAAGGATTTATGCTTACCGATGCTTAAAACTCTCGTTATTGACTCCTGCGGGTTATGTACTGGCCAGTTTCAAATTCTTCTTCTTGCTTCCCCTTCGCTTGAGGAGTTAGACATGACTAATACACGGTGGAGGGATTCCAATGTGACTGTGTCTAGCCCCATCCTCAAGGAGCTGACTATTGATCTCCATGGTTGTTATAGACTAGTAAATCTGAAGAGTCTTTCATTTGATGCTCCAAGTCTTGTTTACTTTTATTACTGTGATTCTCTTGCGGAGGACTATCCACAAGTTAACTTGAAAAACTTAGTCGAAGCTCAAATCAACCTTTTACTAACTCAAGGTCAAATCGAGCAAGCAAGAGCACTAAATAATGAAATGTTGGTGGATGATGTTTTCCCTGGTCTTGGCAATGCGTGGAAGCTCATTACTGGCCTAAAAAATGTTCAACAACTTTACTTGTCCCCTGATACCCTTGAGGTCAGTTTTCTCTCTTGTAGTGTATATCTGGCTGGTCGGGAGGAGGATATAAAGAAAGCAATTATTCCAGTCGTGTAATCTCTAGTGTTGTGTTGTCTCGTTTGCAGCTGCTTTCTAGGTGCTGTGAAGCGATGCCGGTGTTCAACAACCTCAAATTGTTAAGTATTTGCAGTGACATGAATAGGGGATGGCAAGCAATGCCAGTTCTTCTAAGGAACTGTCCACATTTAGAAACTCTAATCATTGAGGTAGACCTCCTATAATCCATGAAACTTTGTTTGTGGACAAAACATCCGCTAAAGATGCAGTTCATACTCGCAATAACTTTATTGTCTCCTTTTTGTGCTTTCAGGGACTCTTACACTATGTGACAGATAAATGCGGGGATGTTTGTGACTGCATTTCTCGGGGTCACAAAGTCCATCCGCTCACATCTTGTCCAGTGAAGAAGTTACAGATTTATGAGTTTCGAGGAACAATTAGAGAGTTAGAGATGATCAAGCATTTCTTGGAGGTTTTTCCGTGTTTGAAGGAGATGGAGATATATGCTCACGAGAATTTTCCAACACCATTTAAAGACGCTAAAATGGTTGAACGTGTCGGGAAGATGATGAACTTCTACAATAAGTTATCGAGTTGCAGTGTTCAGTTCCTAGTGCGTGGTCCCTTGTAAGGGAAGTTGACTGCACTGTGAAGAATTTGTGGGAGTAAACACAGCTCATAGTTTTGGTCAAAGTCTACTTTAATTCTCTGTTGCCTTTTCTCATTGATATTCTGTTACGTTTTTGCTATTTTCACAAATGTTACATTGTCACGAGGCTTAACTTCCTTCGGTAAACTTTTGCATTGTCATAATGATGGGGGATAACTGAAACCATTCAAAATAGAAACATTCGTAAGGCAAAAGAAGAAGAAGAAGAAGAAAATTTGTTTGGAATATCAAACCAGTTAACAAAACTGAACAATTTCTGAAGGGACTTTGGCAAAACTTCGAGCAAGTTATGTTCTTCGTAGAATTTGTGCAGTCAACTTGTTATACAGAGACTCACAGACCATGATTTCGACATTGCAAGTCAATGACTTCTTGTAGAGTTTCATCATCTGTACTTGAAGATCAATAACTTCAGGGACATCGGGATGTGTAAGACCATACCCTTGATCACTGATTTCTATCTCCTTCAAACACGGAAAATAGTTCAAGAAGTGCTTGATAATCTTTATCTCTCTCATTGTTCCTCTAAACCCTTCAATCTCTAATCTCTTCACTGGACAAGTTGAACGTGAACAAACTTTGTCCTCCTGAGAAATGCAGTCACAAACATCCTCGCATGTATCTGGCACACAGTGCGACAGATCCTGAAAGCATAAAGGAGGGATAAGGGATTCAAATTATGAGCTCTATTTTCCTACAAGTTTGACAGATAAGTTGTGTTTAATACCGCAATGCTTAGAGTTTCTAGATGTGGACAGTTCTTTAGGAGAACTGGCACTGCTTGCCATCGACTCTCACCCCTCCTAAATCGTAACAATTTGAGGTTGTTGAACACCGGCATCGACTCACAGCATAGAGAAAGCACCTGAAACAAGACGAAACCCAACTAAACATTTTGCAATCACATGTTTCAAAACTAGACGTCTAGACCTCTTGTGCGTCAAAAAATGGGACCAAATTCTGGTTTTCTTACTTTTATATCCCAGTGATTAAAGATATAACCAGAGAAAACAAAATAGCATACTGACCTCGAGAGTACTAGAGGTCAAGCAAAGTTTCTGAACGTTTCGTATGCCATACATGAGCTTTGCCACATTACCAAGTCGAAGAGCAACATCATCCTCATCATCTTCTAACCAATCATTATTTGGGGCTCTTGCTCGTTCGATTTGATCCTTAGTTACTACAAGGTTGATTCGAGCCTCAAATAGATTTTGAAAATTAGCTAAGGGATAGTCTTCTGCAGCAGAATCAGAGTAGCCTAAGTAAACAAGACTTGGTGTATCAAATGAAAAAGTGCCTGAACCAACGCTGGATTTAATTTTTAGGGTCTTGAGGCTTGCACTTGATACGGTCTCATTCGAATCTAATCCCTTTATATTAGCCATGTCTAATTCCTCAAGCGCAGGACAAGCAGGAAGGAGTATCTCAAACTTATCAACACAAAATTCAACTGAATCAAGAACAAGAGTTTTAAGCATCGGTAAGAAAATGCTCTCAGTCCACCAACCAAGATCAATTCCACTTCCGATCTTCAGCTTAACTAGTTTGTTGCTCTGGAAACCAATTGGAGACAACCAATATCTATCTCCAAAAACGATGCATAGATCAAGGTCGGAAACACCACGCGCCAACACATTTTCTATCCAAAAATCCAGACAATCTGGATCAACTCCAGTTTGACACTTGAGGGAGACTTTATTAACGGTAGAATTTCCCTGCAAAGATAATATTCTGTCCACAAAATCCATGAAGCTCTCTAGAATTCCATCCCTTTCACGTTTACCATCTTCCGGATGAAGAAAAACAGAGTCATCAATGTCAAGATTAGAGACAAATGCAATAAGATTGCGCCACCTTTTGGAGAGAACCGATGTCAAAGCAGCCTCCTTTGTGGTAAGGAAGGACAATATATGACAAAGAAGCTCGTTTGGTAGACTGCTTACACGATCCATCTCCTCTGTACGAAAAGAAGAGGTATATTAACTACACAAATCTAAAAGATGTTATAAAATTAAACAAACCAGTTCCACTGTGCAGGATCTACAGAAAAAAAGTCTAGCAAATGGAGGAAAACACGTAGGCATCGATAAGCTAAATTGTAAAACAAATGATTCAAACAAGAAATTTAACAACTTGTACCCAAAGCAAGAGACTGGAGCTAAAACCCAATTAATAACACCAAAATAATCAACCATATAAATAAGAAACTCAAATGAAGCAGAAGATGTGAGTAAAAGTTCGGAATCTACCTCGTTACAAGGGCCAAGTCCAAGATCTAAAATTTGAAGGATTTCAGTGAAGACAGTGAGAAGAGAGAGCAGAAAGGATGCTGAATACTTATTCCCAAATAATTCACTGAAGCAAATACCAAGCTAAAAGGCAGAGAAAACGAAACCAAATTGGAAGGCTGCAGTGGTTTTGTTATGATTTCTAATATATTGGCCTGGATTGATTTGGTTTAGACCGGTTCTAAAGTAAAATCTAACAATCGTGCAAACCGTAATGACTCAGCATGCCACGTGGAAGAACACTGGACGCTTGCTTCGTCTTCTTCAGTGATGCTGCTATTAAATTTTGGATGTTTCAGCTTCTCGAAAGCATTTTTCATGTCTTCAAGTCTGAGAATTTTCTTTTGCCTTGGCGTCTGTATCATTCAAGGTATATACCGAGTTTTCTATTAATCTACTCGCTCGCTGCTACTAATTTTGATTTAGTCATTGTTCCCCATCGTTAATATTTCCGCTCCGTTCACTTTGCTGGAGATTCATGATGTTATTATATAATTTTGCAGTGGGTCTGTTCGGTGATTATTCTGTGCATTGTGATTGAAATCTCCATTGGAATTAATTGAGTTTTTTCTTCCGAGTTAATAAAAGGGGTTTTCTAGGGTTTGGGTAGAGGATGGATAGGATTAGCAATCTACCAAATGAGATTATTTGCCACATTGTATCTTTCCTTTCTGCAAAGGAGGCTGCTTTCGCATTGGTTCTCTCAAAGAGGTGGCAGAATCTCTTTACCATTGTACAAAAACTTGAGTTTGATGACTCGATCAAGAATCAAGGGAGTTTGATGGATTTCGTGGATGGAGTACTGGCTCTTCCGATCACTACCCGCATTAGGAAGTTCTCTCTAAGAATTTACAATTCTCTTGTGCGGATACTTCGGGGGACTGGTCTTGTTATTGATCCACATGTTGTCAACCGTTGTCTCTGTAATGTATTGAAGCGTGGTGTCTTGGATCTTAAACTGGATATATATGTTGAAGAAGGATATCTACTGCCTTCTGAGGTCTTCACTTGCAACACAATTGTTGAGCTGAAACTCAATTGCAAGATACTCGTTGATCCTCATACTCTCGGTTATCTTGTTATTGATGATATCCCTGAGAATGCTTTCCTTCCGGGGCTTGAGTCTCTCTATCTCAAATCAATTCGGTTCTCTGATCTACGCGGATGTGCTTTCCAAACGCTTCTTTCTGCTTGTCCTGTGCTTAAGACATTAACCATACATGATGTGGAGTGGGAACATTGGAAATGGTCTCGCACTGTATCAAGTCCAACCCTTCAGAGGCTTATTATTCAACGTTCAGAATACGATGGTTTTAGTGGGTCTGATTTCAAAAGCATTACTTTCGATACTCCGAATCTTACCTACTTAGAGTACGATGATTTTGTTCCGGATGAGTATCCAGTGGTTAATTTTGATTCCCTTGTCGAAGCCAAGCTTGATCTTACTATGACTGTAAATCACGATAGGCCTGCAAGATACCTAGACGAAGATGATCCTATTACAAGCAATCCAACTAATCTGATTAAGGGGTTAAGAAATGTTGAGATCTTGCATTTATCATCTATTGGAACTGCTCAGGTAAGTGTGTTTTTGGTTTCTTCTTTTTCTCTAATGCCTAATTACACAACTTGAGAAACTAAAAGAACATGAAAGGAGAATCAAACGTGCATCTTAAGTTCCATATGATGTTTTCAGTATATGAATAATTGGTTCATGAGGTTTTGTTCCTATAAATTGCTCTTAGTGTGTTTTATTTGATATCAGATGCTTTGTTTCTTCCGTGAAGCAATTCCAGAATTTATAAACCTACATCATATAACTATTGCACCAACTGATTACGAGGGATTTTATTGGCGATTTCTGCCTGTTTTGCTAAAGAAGACTCCAAATCTAAAGACACTCGTCATCGAGGTATGACCATAATCTTGCAAGTTTATTGACTAACCGCAATTTCCTAAAGTCCTTGCATTCTCCTAAATGTTTAATTTCTACTAATCCCCCCGCTTGAGTCAGGGTCCATTGCACTATGATGATGATGATGATGATGATGATGATGATGATGATGATGATGATGATGATGATGAAGAAGAAGAAGAAGAACCTGAATACTATTGCGAGTGTTCGTCGGGATGTAATTGTCTATTGTCATGTCCTGTGGAAGTCCTGGAGATCTCCAAGTACATGGGAACTACCAAAGAACTGGAGAGAGTGAAGCATTTCTTAGTGAAGCTGTCATGTCTTGAGCATGTGAAACTTGGTGTTCTGTCAAGAGGCGGCGACAAGGAAAAATTGAGAATCACCACTGATCTGCTAATGCTTCCTAGAGCTTCGGTCAATTGCAAGATCCAGATCAAGTTTTCTAAAAACTACTACTAACCATCCACGAGGAACAAACTTTGGTCCTCCTAGTTGCATAAGTCTGCTTGTAAACACTCTTGCTGGTTTATTACTTTGTTGGAGTTTACTTGTTATCTTAGTCTGATCTTCTTTCTAAGACTTGTTTTGATTTTGCTTTAATGGGTTTTCTTATGATCTTACTCCAAAATGACAATTTATCACCCATGAACAAATCTAAAAGTAGAATTAGCAGCAGAAGTGTACTTAAGCTAAGGTTTGTTTGTTGTGTAAGACTTCTCTATGAAGGCCAATTCCTAGACAAGAAATCACTTTACTCAGAACTCAGAAGTCAACATCACAGCATAGATTTTTTTGCTAGATAAAATAACCTCAGAATTTATAGAAAACTATTTTGACAAAGTTGGTTACTTTTTTGACAATGTAGAGACTACTTTCTGCTACCAGCGAGCTCTTTCGCTTAAGAGTCTGAGAAGATCTGAGAGAACTGAGAAGTTCGACGCAAGTAAAAAGGTGACCAATTATAGCCGTAAGGATTTTCTTTTACAAAACTATAAAAACTGTGTCCAAATGCATTTCAAAATTTTAACCAAATAAACTACTCTGTTTTGGGTCAACTATCGAAACATGCATTCAACACCTTTTAGTTTCCAGAAAAAAATCGAATGAAACATGGCTTTAGCAAAATCATGAAAACGTTTCATACTCGTAGACTTCATTGTGCAGTCCATTTCCTACGCATGTAAGCCCACACCAGGAAGTAAACATCACAACTCGATAACTCATTGTAGAGCTTCAATATCTTCTCAACATACTCAAACGCTCCAGGATTTTCAAAGTTTGTAGGACCATTTTCTTCAGCAAATATCCCCATCTCCTTTAAACATTTAAAAGACCTCAAGAAGTGCTCAATCATATTTATCTCTCTCATCGTTCCTCTAAACCCTTGTATCTCTAACTTCTTCACGGGACAAGAAGTGAGCGAACGACTTTTGTCTTCCCGAGGAATGCAGTCACAAGCATCCCCGCATTTATCTGTCACATAGTGTAAGAGACCCTGAAAGCATAAAGAAGACAGTATGATCAATGAGTCTGACCAACATCTTTAACAAATGTTTTGTCAAGTACTTTCATAGTTTATAATTGACCTCAATGATTAAAAATTCCAGATGCGGACAGTTTCTCAGAAGAGCTGGTAGTGCTTGCCAACCGCGACCCTCATCACTCTTAATACCTAAGGTTTTGAGGTTGTTGAACACCGGCATTGATTCACAGCATAGAGAAAGTACCTGAAAACAAGAAAAAAAAATCCAACTGGATACTTTGCAATTAATCTTTCACAAATAGACCAGAGAGAGCAAAATATGACCTCCAGAGTATCAGCAGTTAAGTAAAGTGTCTGAATGTTTTGTATGCCATTCATGAGCTTCACGACATTGCCAAATTGGAGAACAACATCACCCTCTAACAAATCATTATTTGGCTCTCTTACCCGCTTGATCTGATCATCTTTTACTATAAGGTTGATTCGAGCCTCACATAACTTTCCCATTTGAACTAATGGATAATCCTCGGCAACTAAATCAGAGTAGTTTAAGTAAAGCAGACTTGGAGTATCAAAAGAAATGCTCTTTGGATTTACATAGTCTTCACAACCGGTGCCAAGGATACTTAGCTTCCTGAGGCTTGCACTTGACACGGTTTCGTCAGAAGCCGTCCACTCCATATTAGCCATTCGTAATTCCTCAAGCACAGGGAAAGAATGAAGAAACCTCTTCATCTTACCCCAAAGAATCAAGTCCGAGTCAATATAAAGGCTTTTAAGCATTGGTAAGAAAGTACCTCCCTTTCCACACCACCAATCAACACAACGATCACTTCTTATTTTCAGCTTAACCAATGTCCTGCTGACGAACATCTCTTGAGGTAGCATATCCTCATCCTCTTCGATATCCTCCAAGGAATAATCAATGAAAAGATCAAGATCCGAAACACCACGCTGCAGCACGTTACATATCCAACGATTCACATGATCTGGATGAACACCAGTTATACATTTGAGAGAGAATTTATCAATGGGAGAATCACCCTGCAAAGCCAGTACACTGTCCACGAAATCAACGAAGCTCTGTCGAATTTCATGCCTTTCCGCTTTACCCTCTTCCGGATGAAGAAATTCAGAGTCATCAATGTCAAGATTAGGGACAAGTTTCCAGAGATTGAGCCAGCTCTTTGAGAGAACCGAAGTCAAAGCAATGTGCTTGGCGGGAAGGAAGGACAAGATATGACCACGAACCTCGTCTGGTAGATTGCTGACACGATCCATCTCCTGTACACGAGATTAAAAGTACATTATTACATATCTACAACTAGAGGAAGCTCTAACAGTAAGGTAAAACATGAAATTTGACAGCTTTTCCCCAAAAGATGAGAGAGGAGAAATAGGAACATAGAAAAACCTAATTCACAAATCACAACGCAAGTAAGAATCCACCCAAAGAAAACTTTAAATGAAGAAACAGAAAATTAGTAGAAACAGAGTGAAAACTTGAGCATTTACCTCGCTACGAATGGCTTAATCGAAGATCCAAATTTTGGTGATTTCAGTGAAAGCTTCCAGTAATAAGAGAGAGAGTTGGGAGTGCTTAGTCACTAGTTTCTATGGCGGAGGGGAAAGTCACACACTTTCAGTTCGACAATACATGCAAATGCATCGGAGAAGCCGAAACATCCAACTTTAAGAAGAAGAACTGAAGAAGGAAGAAGACAGCAGACAAACGAGGGTTTTTAAAATTAAAACTACGGTTGAATGTTGGTCCTACTTAAATCACCGGTTTAATTCGGTAAACAAACCGGAACTGTTTTTACTTTGGGCTGCGGAATTGTGGTAGAACAACTAGTGAGGCCCAAGTAAAGACGCCCAGTTGCAAAATTGGTTAGGAAAATTACAACAGAGCAGCATCGTGAATTCGTGATGATGCTATTTAATTTTTGATGTCTCATCAGCTTCTCAAAAACATTTGCATATGTTCTCCAACTGAAAGTTTGAGAATTTTATTTTCTTAGGTTATGGTTATCATATTTTGGCCTGAAATGGTTTGGTTTTGTGTGGTTAAATGCAAACCGGACCAATCAAATCAAATAACTTTATATGCAGGGCGAACATAATTACTTGTTAAGTAAGTTAATTTTATTACTTGTACACACAGATCGAGAAGGAGTATAAGATCAGCAGCAGAAACAGAAGAGAACAGTTAGCTTCCGCACCTACCGTGTACAGATGCAAAGTCCAGAGAGTAGCGAAGATATGAAGATCCAAGTTTAGATGAAGAATTTACAAGCCGCTTCGTTTCAGGATGTTGAACCAGAATTCGAACTAAATAAACACAAACAGAACCAAATTGGGAAAAAAAAAATCGCAAATTTATTCTCCGTCTCGTGGCGGAAAATCTGCTGCCGTAGCTTGGCCGAGCTCGGTCATCTCCTGATCCCTGGATGTCTCAGCTCGCTCTGTGTCGGTTGCACGCAGAGCCCTTAGTGCCGATGCTAGCATTGGGTTCTGCTCAGCAATGATATCTAACAGAGCATCATAGTCCCGCTTATTCTCGGTCATCTGCTCACCACTCGACGCCTTTGCTCGCTCTGATTCAGTTGCTTGTCGAGCCATCAAAGCTGATGCTATCATTGGGTTCTGGTCGACAATCATATCCAACATAGCCCGTAGCCTCTCCTTAAGATCCGCAAGCTGAGCTTCTTTGTCCCGTTGCCTCTCCTTAAGATCCGCAACTTCAAGTTGCATCTGAAGGTAGTCCTGAGACATCTCTTGTGGCAGAGGAGAAGGTACCGGGGAAGAAGCTCCATGCATGATGAAGACCATATCGTAGATACGCTCTTTATTGCGGGGAGCGAACTGTAAAAGAAAAGAAAAGACAGTTAGTTAATTCAAAGCGGTCATATTTTGTTTGTTATTGAAAACGGTAATCAAATAGTATACCTCAGAGTACATCTCATCCATCTGGGTCTGGGACCAACCCCCAGATTGTGCTGAACTCTGCCAATGTCCAACTCTCTCTATCGAGACCACGTCGTGGAGCTTATAGGCAACAATTTTTAGAATTCTAGGCACTTCAAAGTTTGTAGAATCATCCTCTTCAGCATCTATCACCATCTCATCCACACACGGGAAATACTCCAGGAAATGCCTTATCATCTCTTTCTCTCTAATTGTTCCTCTAAACCCTTGAATCTCTAAATTCTTCACGGGACAAGAAGTGAGCGAACGACCTTTGTCTTCCCGAGAAATGCAGTCACAAGCATCCCCGCATTTATCTGTCACATAGTGTAAGAGACCCTGAACGCATAAAGAAGACAATAAGATTATTGAGTCCGACCAACATCTTTAACAATTGTGTTGTCAAGTAGTTTTATGGTCTATAATTGACCTCAATGATTAGAAATTCTAGATGTGGACAGTTTCTCAGAAGAGCTGGCACTGCTTGCCAACTGCGACCCTCATCACTTTTAAGACCTAAGGTTTTGAGGTTGTTGAACACAGGCATCGATTCACAGCACATAGTAAGAACCTGAAAACAAAAAAAAAACCCGAACTAGAAACTTTGCAATTAATCTTTCACAGCTAGACCAGAGAGAACAAAATAGAAAACTGACCTCGAGAGTATCAGCAGTTAAGTAAAGTGTCTGAATATTTTGTATGCCGTTCATGAGCTTCACCACATTGCCAAATTGGAGAACAACATCACCCTCATCATCCTCTAACAAATCATTATTTGGCTCTCTTATCCGCTTGATCTGATCTTCATTTTTTACTATAAGATGGATTCGAGCCTCAAGTAACTTTCCCATTTTAACTAATGGATAATCCTCCGCAACTAAATCAGAGTAGTTTAAGTAAAGCAGATTTGGAGTATCAAAAGAAATGCTTTTTGGATTTTCAAACTCTTCACAACCGGTGCCGTGGATACTTAGCTTCGTGAGGCTTGCACTTGACATGGTTTCATCTGATTCCCGCCACTCCATATTAGCCATGTGTACTTCCTCAAGCACAGGGAAAGAAGAAAGAAAGTTCTCCATCTCACCAAAGAAAATCAAGTCCGAGTCAATATTAAGACTTTTAAGCATTGGTAAGGAAGCGCCGATATCCCAATGCCACCAATTAACACAGTGTTCACTTCTTAATTTCAGCTTAACCAGTGTCTTACTGACAAACATCTCTTGAGGTAGCCTATATTCATCCTCTTCGGTATCCTCGTAGGAAAAATCAGTGAAAAGATAAAGATTCGAAACACCACGCTGCAGAACATTACATATCCAACGATTCACATGATCTGGATGAACACCAGTTATACACTTGAGGGAGAACTTCTCAATAGGAGAATCAGCCTGCACAGCCAATACTCCGTCCACGAATTCCACGAAGCTCTGTCGAATTTCATCTCTTTCCCCTTTACCCTCTTCAGGATGAAGAAAATCAGAGTCATCAATGTCAAGATTAGTTTCAAATTTCCACAAATTGAGCCAGCTCTTGGAGAGAACCGAAGTCAAAGCAGCGTGCTTGGTGGGAAGGAAGGACAAGATATGGCACCGAACCTCCTCTGGTAGATTGCTGACACGATCCATCTCCTGTACACGAGAATAAAAGTACATTACTACATGTACAACTAGAGGCAGCTTTAACAGTAAGGTAACATTAACCAAAAACAACTTTTCCCCAAAAGCGGAGAAGTGGGAACAGAGAAAAATCCAGTTCACAACGCAAATAAGAATCCACCTAAAGAGAATTTTGAACCAAGAAACACCCAAAAGAGAATAGAAGCAGTAGAAACAGAGGAAATTAGTAAACTTCAGCATTACCTCGTTACAAACAGTAAATCCAAAGATCCAAACTTTGGGAATTTCAGTGAATGCGTCCAGTGAGAAGAGATTGCTTAATCGCTAGTTCCTATGGCCGTAGACGCGAAGATATGAAGAAAACGCGAATATCCAGCGGAAGGTAGAGGGGAAAGTCCCAAACTTTCAGTTCGACAAGACGTGCAAATGCATCGGAGAAGCCGAAACCAAATTTGATGGTTTTGCATTGAAAGCGGACACCACTACAAGTCTACACCAGTGAGGTGACCCAGTCGAGTTTTGGCTCCTTTTCCAGTTTAATTGGGTAAACGGGTAAACAAACCGGGACTGCTTGAATTTGGGCTGCGGAAGTATGGTGGAACAAGTCAGGCCCAAGTAGAAGCCCAGTGTCAAACAAAGAATCCTTCTTCTTCTTCTTAAACGTTGGGTTTAAATTTAATATTGCAGAGAAGCCTATATATAGAGCCATAGAGAGAAAAGAAAACAAACATGTCGAAAGAAAAGCAGAAGATGTCCTACGTATATCAAATATCTGAATGAAATGGTATCGTTTTAATTTAGCTTTTAAACAAGAATCCAAAGGAGACTTTGACTAAACTATGAGCTAAGTTTTTTTCCGAGAAGACTTCAATCACTGTGCAGTCCACTTCTTATCCAAGGAACTACGCACCAGGAACTGAACATCACAACTATAAAACTCGTTGTAGAGTCTGAGCATCTGCGCAATAAGTTCAAGCACCCCAGGGACTTCGAGGTCTGTGCGACCCTTCTCTTCAGCATAAATCTCTAGCTTCTCCAAACACCTAAAAGAGTACAAGAAATGCTTTATCATCTTTAACTCTCTAATTGTTCCTCGAAACCCTTTGATCTGTAACTTCTTAACCGGACAAGATACGAGCGAACGGCCTTTATCTTCCTTAGAAACGCAGTCACAAGCATCCCCACATTTATCTGTCACAAAATGTCTTAGACCCTGAAAACAGAAAAGCATAGATAGAGTAAGGGACTTCAAAGAATGGTCTCTGTCATTGTTAATGTTTGACAAATGAGCTGTGTTAATACCTCAAAGGCCAGTGTTTCTAAATGTGGGCAGTTCCTTAAGAGAACCGGCATTCCCTGCCATCCTTCACTCTCGGCAGTCTTAACATGTAACAATTTGAGGTTGTTGAACACCGGAATCGATTTAGAGCATAGAGAAAGCACCTGAAACAAGGCAAAGCCAAACTCAACATTACAGCTGCAATATCTTTTAAAATATCTCCAAAATTGATTCGATATGTAAAAGCAGGAGGCTTAGAACAACAATGGAGTGTGCATTAGAACCTGTGAAAGGACTTAGCATAAGAATTTTACACTCGGAATAACATAAATTTGAATCTCATACTTCCACAATTTATATGGGTTTCCTTGAGTCCAGTAAAAAAAATACTATAAAAACTGACCTCGAGAGTATCTAAAGATATGTAAAGTTTCTGAACATTTCTTATGCCACTCATGAGCTTCCACCCATTTTTAAGACGCAGAAGGACATCATCCTCATCGTTATTTGGCGCTCTTGCTCGCTTGAATTGATCTTCATCTAATAAAAGGCTGATTCGAGCCTCAACTACGTTTGTCAAGTTAACTTTTGGATAATCTCCCGCAACCATATCAGAATAGTCAAAGTAAACCAGACTTGGAATATCGAAAGAGATGCTTTTTGGATTTGAAAAGTCTTTACAGCCGGTGGCACAGATAGTTAGCTTCCGGAGGCTTGCACTTGACACGGTTTCATCCCAATCCGGCCACTCATGAAAAGACATGGACAATTCCTCAAGAACAGGGAAAGTAGGAAGAAACTTCTCAATCTTATCACAACGAACCCAAGGTGAGTCAAGAATGAGAGTTTTGAGCATTGGTAAGACAGTGCCTAGTCTAGCCCACCAATTAACACCTAATGAACATTTTAGTTTCAGCTCGACTAGTGTCTCACTGATGAACATTTTCCGAGGCATAAAATATTCTTGGTCGAAATCGATGAAAAGATCCATGTCCGAAACACCACGCTGTAGCACATTACATATCCAACCATCAACTCGACGTGGATGAACACCAGTTTCACACTTGAGGGAAAACTTCTTAATGGGAGAATCACCCTGCAATGCCAATACATTATCCACAAAATCCATGAAGCTCTGCAGAATTTCTTCTCTTTCCCGCTTACCCTCTTCCGGGTACAGAAAGACAGAGTCATCAATGTCAAGATTAGGGACAAGTGCAAACTGATTTCGCCACCTCTTGGAGACAACAGATGCCAAAGCAGCCTCTTTTGTGGTAAGGAAGGACAATATATGACAGAGAATCTCGTCTGGTAGACTGCTGAAGAGATCCATCTTCTCTGCAGGAAGACAAAGGTAGAGATTCAACTATCAACAATTCCCAAATAGGAAACCACCCAAATAGATTTTGAGACTGTGAACAAAAAAGACGCCCAAATGAGAATACAACTAGTAGAAGGAGAAGATATGAGTTAACTTCAGCAGCTACCTGGGTACAGAGACAAAGTCCAACACTTTCGACTCTTAGCCTTAGAGAAAAGGAAAAAAAAACAAATTTTGCAGCAGTAACACTTGAAATTAGATCAACTGCTCAGTAAAGGCGTCCAGTGACAGTGAGAAAAGAGAGGCGAAGTGCCGAAACGTTGGTTTCTATGACCCTACAAACAAACAAAGGTCTCTTGACAAATCTCTGAAAAGAAACATACTTTCAAAGTGGAGATGGAAAAATTGGAGACCTACCTTGGGAGAAACAAACGCTAAATCAAAGACCTAGACTTGGGTTTCAATGAATGTGTCTGTCTAGTGAGAAGAGAGCCCGTGTTCTCTGAATCGCTGGTTGTGAATAGTCTCATGAAAATGCGTCGGAGAAGAAGCTGAAACTTCTCAATTTCCTGGTTAGGTTCCGCGATTGGTTTGGTTCTGGTTTTAATTTACCGAAGATGCGCCCTGTTTTACAATTATTACGTGCTCGGTTTACTCTTAAGCAAAACGGAGCGTATTGTGAGAAAAGAAGAACTCAAAAAAGGTTCACAATCTTCATACATTTACATCTTTATAATAGTCTCATCATAATGATGATTGATGATACCCGATTGATGATACCCTCTTAAGACAAATGTTGATAACCTTTTGTATGTGATCATGAGCTTCAACATAACATTCAATTTTAGCATATCTACTGAATTCTGATATAAGGTATGGAATCAAAGTATAAACTTTTGTGGCTTAAGTTGGGTTCTGTTGTAGTTGAAATTGAATATCTTGTTAACTTTCTCGTTACTTGAGTAAAAACGTCTGAAAAACAACTCAAAGCAAAATAACTGACGAAAACAATCCTATCAATAGAATCCATCTGACAGAAAACCAAATTAAAAAAAAAAACAGAGTTATGCTCAAAGAAAGCTACGAGGAGGAATAAACTCGAACTCGATCTTGCACTTAGACGATCTAGGAAGATTCAGCAGATTGGTTCTGAGTTGAATCTGTTCCTCGTCGTCTGTTTCATTAGAACAAACTTTGACAAGCTCAAGACATGACAATTTCTCCAGGAAATGTTTCATGTGTTCCAACTCTTTTTTAGTTCCGCTGTACTCGGTTATCTCTACGGTCTTCACAAGACATGACTCTAGAAAAGAATACTCTGACAAGCACTCACAAATAGATTCATCATCGTCAGACTCCGACTCATCCTCATAATAGTTCACCTCATCAGACTCATATTCATCGCCCAACTGATAATTATAGTGCAAGGGACCCTGTAACAAGATGGAGAATTAGAGATCGGAGACTTCATTAGGTGTGGTATAACTGAAATGTTTTGGGATCCATACCTCAATGACGAGAGTCTCTAGGTTTGGAGACTTCTTCAGCAGATATGGCAGAGCTCTCCAACAGAATTTACGTTCAGTTGCAATAGACAAATGATGCAAGTTTTCAAACACTGGGATTGCTTCATGGGAGAAATAAAACGCCTGAACAAAACAAAATCAAAACAATCAAAAGCTCATTGGTTTCTAAATACCTAGTAGAGAAGAAAAGAATTAGAGCACACTTACATCCACAGTATCGGTACATGTTAAGTTCAAGGTCTCAACATTTCTTAACCCCTTGATCAGATTGGTTACGCTTGGAATAGTATCACCATGACGTGCATATTCTCCCGTCCAGGCGTGATGTAGTGGCAACTTAAGACCGACAGTAGCTTCGACAAGGGAGTCGAGATTAACCATCGGATAGGATTGCGGAGCAAAATCATAGTACTTCAAGTTGGTAAGACTCGGAGTATAAAAAGTAATGCCCTCCATATCGTAATAAATATTACCAATATAAGCAAAGTAATATCTGTGGTTGATAGTAAGTCTCTCCAGGGTCGGACTTGACACTTTGCGAGACCATTCCCATTGCTCCCACTCCACATTAAGAATCCCTAACTCCACAAGCACAGGGCAAGAAGAAATAAGCTTTTGGAACGCACAACCAGATTGATCAGAGAATCGAACTGAATCAATAGTGAGAGTCTTAAGCGCCGGAAGAAGAGCATTCTCAGGGACAAGATCAATTTGCAAAATAGACCCTAGTTCAAGCTCAACAAGAGTCTTGCAAGTGAAGATTTCAACAGGTAGTGAATATCCTCCGTCGAGGGTAGCCCATATATCAAGTTTAAGCTTCAAGACACCACGCTTCAGCACATTACAGAGAAAAAGGTTGAGATCACGATATTCACGCTTGCGCAATTTTATAGAGACGTTCCTTATGCGGGAACAGGCTGGGAGAGCCAGCAATCCATTCAAGAAATCTTTCAAACTTCCTTGATTCTCAACTGTGTTATCAAACTCAAGGTTTGGTATGATGGTATAGAGATTTTGCCACCTCTTTGAGAGAACCGATGCGACAGTTGCCTCCTTTGCCGAAAGAAAGGATACGATGTGACATATGATTTCATTCGATAGACTGCTGATCCTATCCATCTCTTTGCTCAACTAATTGGAAGAGAGTTCTCGATCTACAAACATAGTGACGTCACAATACGGTTCTTTGGAAACGAAAATAGTTTGGAAGTGGAGATGTATACCGAAGATATGAGCAGAAAAGCAATACCAAATATGTGAAACTAAGAAACCACGATTAGAAAATTTTCAGAAATACCTTACTATGGGAGAGGCGAGAAGGCAGAAGAGAAGTCCCAAACTTTTGGCTTTGAGAGGACTACGTACAAACACAGCCGGAACTACTTTATATTAGGGGTTTAGGGTAACTTGGGAAAAAACCAAAAACGAGAATTTAGGGTTTTGGAAAGTAAATCTGTTCGGTGCACACTTTATTAATGTAACTTGAGGGAAAAACAAAAACGAAAAATTTAGGGTTTTGTAAAGTAAAGCTGCTCTGTTTACTTTATAACTGGTTTGGTTGGACCAGTTTTAAGAACCAAAAATAAAATAAGCCACACCGAACCAAATCAAATCATCCCATAGGCTTAAGTTCCACAATCGAAGGCAGTTGATGATGAACTCGGTACCAAGGTAGAGCATAAATGTTTTGTTTGAGGAACAGAGCAAAATCATATGACCAATGGTACAGTCTAGTGTGAATGTTGGTCTATTTCTTCTGATTCTTTAACGTTACCAATTTAATTCGGTAAACCAGGACAACGTGAGTTTACGATAGTATAAGGCAAAACCCCCACCAACCTTTAGAAGCAGATTGGGAGAGAGATAAAAGAGAGCTTTGAGAAGAAAGCAAGCTAGTTTGAAGAGTTCAAATATCTGCAACATTTTAATGACTTCGAGGTAGAGGACCATTGTCTTCAACATATATACTCTATATCATTTCCATCTACCTGTGTTCCTCAGGAACACTTGAATCTCTAACGTCTTCAGTGGACAAGATATGAGTGAAACAACTATGTCCAGTAACATATGTATAAATAATTAACCATGTGGGCAATGGTTTTTTTAATACACAAGTGACACAAGGTTTGTAAGAGAGAGAAAGAGACTACGAGCCTAGCAGCTTCTTCCACCTGGCGTAACCAAGGGTGACCATGAAAAGCACAATGCAAAATGCAGTAACACTCCACACAAAGTAACCAAAGATGCCGTGTGTGGTATACAATGGACATGGTATGTTCATTCCGAACAAGCTGGCCAACAAAGTCTCTGCGGCTATTGCAAACGATGCTATGGTCAGCGTCAGCTGCAGCTGGATCAGTTCGTTTCGTTGATTGTCCAGTTGTATGTTCACGTAGTCTTCTGTGTCGTCAATGTACTCCCTCACTGTAAGAATCTTGTTCCGCATCCCCTCCAGTTGCATGAAGTATGCCTCCAGCAACATCTCCAGATCTTCCACATCATCTTCCTCTGTACTGCTCGTCACCATACTCGCGCTTCTGTTTGATGTGAGCCGGTGAAGATTTGATGTATTATGTGCTGGGGCGACAATGCTGTTTGATGCTGTCCCCGCAAGTATTGCCTCGGTTTGCTGGTTCTGGATCCATTTCCTTGTTAAGTATAAGTCTGCCATGTCTTCGTTGTCATCTAACAAATGTTCGAGTTCATCTCTCACCTGAATAACGTACAACAGCTTTACATTTCCATTCATCACACAACATCATAGTATCATGGGAAAACGTATTTTAGTCAGCATCTACCTTCTGCACACGGGCTAACAAGCGGGTGAGATTACTTTTCAAACTTCGTACATATTCAAGATTCTCAGTGCTGACATTCTTGGTTAGTTCATCAAGGACAGGCCAAGCTTCTGTCTCAAGAGCAGCCACACTTTTATCAACAAATGAGCAGACGACCTCAAGTGCAATCTCCAGGACCTGAAATTCAAAAGGAAGCTCACTCTGCAAACCCTCTCCAGCTTCTGGATCAAGAGGAGATTGTAAATTTGCAGAAGCTTGCAGTGCAGTTTCAGTCCCATTCCTCTGAGGAAACTGTTGCTTTAGTCGTTCAACGAAAGGAAGAACTTCAGGACGGAGAGGATCCAACAGTAGAACTTCTTCTGCAGTAACTATTGCTTTTATGACCTCTAAATTAACAACAATAGCTTTCTCTCTGGCTGCAGAGCAAAATATTGATTGATTATTAACTTTTCCTTAAGTACTCAGCAAAAAACAAGCTTATAACTTCAGAAACACAATGTCCAAGAATTAGCAGATCGAAATTTTTACCGAGAATATTAGAAGAGTGAGAGAAGACAGGGCCAAGAATCCTCAAATCCCTAGCGGGAACAGAAGCACGTTTGATGATTGTACTCTTATCACACTCCACCACTTCCATCGCACCAGTCCGATCAAACCTCATCCACCACCGAGCTCCACCGGTTTTCTTCTTCGCCTTCCCCGCCCCTCCCACAATCGGTCCGCCAGCATTAATCGGTAGGGGAGGCGGTGGAGATGAAGGCGCCGATGTATGTGCGGAGTCATCCTTCACGGCAGAACCTTTTTTCCGGTGACGGATGCTCGAAAGACGGCGAAAGGATAAGGGGCCCTTCCCCATCGATTCCAGCCACGAAAACGATAATTGTTCCAATCAATTTCTTCTTCGCAGGTCAGAGATCTAGTGGTGGCTGAAGGAGAAAGCGCCGACCTCTGCCGCTTCTTCTTCTTCGCTTTCTCCAATTCCGATGAATCCTTCCTCTGCCATAAACGTCAGTGAGGAATAGGGTTCGATTTTGTAACTGAACTTTTTTACGGCGAAATTCCTAAAAGCGATGTATTCTTTGACCCAAAAAGGAAAAAAAGAAAAGAATATCGATGTATTGAAACGGTGTCGCTTGGTTTCTGAATCGGTTTGGTTCGGACCCACCGATCACAGAGATTATGTACATATATGATTTACATTCTTATTTCTTAAGACAAATGTCCATCACACATTACACATGTTCAACGAACAGTGGACATTTGAGCTTGAGCTTCAACACAACCCTTAATTTAAACCACATTTGCGGCGAGATTGCGCAAGTCAGATACCGATGCATTGAAACAGCGTACTTTAGTTTCTGAATCGATTTGGTTTTGATCTCCTCGCCTGAATCGGTTTTAAGTTCAACCCATTGATCAGATGATGTACATATGATTACATTATTAAGACAAATGTTTCATCACATTGTATTGCACATGTTGTTCTTCGAACAGCGGACGTTTGGGCTTGAGCTTTAAACACAACGTTAAATTTAGAAGAACATTTACTCATAGCGGTATGGAAATCAAACTTTAATGTGATGTTCTGAAAAGTTATCTTTTGCAAATTAAACTTATAAAGTGTAACCTACTGTATATTAAGCTTAAACCATGGTAAATGACCCAAAACATTCGCATAAAAAGAAATAATGGAAGGAAACAAAACGTCTAGTAAATCAGTTAAACATAAGAGAAGAAGAAACTAAGGTTTTGGGATTAGTTTGGTTTGGTTTGAAACAGTTTTCAAGCAACCGAAGTAAAATTTCGAAGGGACTTTGGCAAAACTATGAGCAAGTTTTGTCCTTCAGAGAATTCTTCCTTTTGCGGTCCACTTCTTACACAAGTAATCACTCACAAGGAGCTGGACATTGCAACTCGATAACTTGTTGAATTCTTCCATCATCTGCTTGATAACTTTAGACACTTCAGGGAATCTAAGCTCTGTAGGATCATTCTCTTCAACATAAATCTCCATCTCCTTCAAACACGGAAAATGGTCCAAGAAATGCTTTATCATTGTCATCTCTTTCATTGTACCTCTAAACCCTTGAATCTCTAACTTCTTTACTGGACAAGATGTGAGCGAATGACCTTTGTCCTCCCGATAAATGCAATCACAAGCATCCCCACATTTATCTGTGACCTGGTGCAAGAGACCCTGAAAGCATAAAGGCGACGATAAGGGATTCAAAGTATGAACTCAATCTTTGAACATGTTTGGAAAATGAGTTGCTTTTCTACCTCAATGACTAGAGTTTCTAAATGTGGACAGTTCCTAATAAGAACTGGCATTGCCTGCCATCCTCGTTCCTTGCCACTCTTAATACCTAATGATTTGAGGTTTTTGAACACCGGCATCGATTCACAACATAGAGCAAGCACCTGAAAATAAGAAAAAAACGCAACTAAATAATTTGCAATTACATGTTTCAAAACTAGACCTTCACTTATTCGTTAATAATGGGATCGAACAAACATGACTGCTATGCTCCAGGAATTCAGATAGAAATCTTGTTTTCCTGTTTTCATTTCCTCGAGAACAGTTGAATATAGGTATTCAAAGAGAGTATAAAAATAGTAAACTGACCTCGAGAGTATCAGGAGACAAGTAAAGATATGGAACATTTTGTATGCCATGAAAGAGTTTCCACACATTGCTATATCCGAGAGTAACGTCTTCGAACCAATGATCATCATCATTTGGTTCTCTAGCTCGCTGGAGTTGCTCTTCAGTTAACGAGAAGATGATTCGAGCATCATATAAGTTTTTCATCTTAACTACTGGATAGTCCGGCGCAACATAACCATAGTAATCAAAGTAAACGAGACTCGGTGTATCAAATGATAAAGTGTCTAAACAACCGCTGTTATTTATTTTTAGGGTCTTGAGGCTTGCACTTGATACGTTCACATCATGATCAATCCAGATTACATCAAACAGGAATAATTCCTCAAGCGCAGGTAAAGCATGAAGAAGAATCTCAAAGTTCTCAACCCGAGCAGAGTCAATAACGAGAGTTTTAAGCATCGGTAAGAAAATGCTCCCAGACATCCAACCAATCTCAATTCCACAGTCTATTTTCAGGTTAACTAGTGTGCTGCTCTGGAAACATTTTGGAGACAGCCGATAGTTATCATCTCCCTCTGAATCCAAAATGATTAATAGATCAAGGTCGGAAACACCACGCGCCAGCACATTACTTATCCAACCATCCACACGAACTGAATCAACCTCGGATAGACACTTGAGGGAGCATTTCTTAATGGGAGAATCTCCCTGCAAAGCCAAAATTCTATCCACAAAATCCATGAAGCTCTGTATAATTTCGGGCCTATCCCGCTTATCCTCTTCTGGATGAAGAAAGACAGAGTCATCAATGTAGAGATAAGGGACAAATGCAAGGAGATTGCGCCACCTCTTGGAGAGAATCGAAGTCAAAGCAGCCTCCTTTGTGGTAAGGAAGGACAATATATGACAAAGAAGCTCGTTTGGTAGACTGCTAACACGATCCATCTTCTCTGCACGAAAGAAGAGGTAATAAATTCAAATAAAAATCAGCAAGTGGCGTATGCATCTCGATATAAGCTAAACTGGTATTACAATTGATTCAAAAACACCAATTATTGATTAGAAATCAGTAGAAGCAGAGGAGATGGGTAAACTTGAGCATTTACCTAGTTACATACGCCAACTTCAACACCCAAATTTAGTGAATGTGTCTACTCAGAAGAGATTGCTGAACATATATATATGGAAAAAAGACATGAAAATGCATTGGGGAAGCTCAAATATCCAACTGGAGAGGAAGGCAGCAGTAAATAAAAGGGCCCAGCAAGTACCAACTTGCAAATCAAGCTGAGGCGACGGAAGATGGTGGCGGAGGAGTAAATTGAGGGTTTAGAATTGAAGGCGGTGGAGGCGAAGACTCAAATGGATTCTTGTGTCTCGTCCGGTTCTTTACAATTCACCGGTTTAATTCGGTAAACCAACCTCAACCAGGACTGCTTTGACTATGGGCTACAAAGTATGATGAAAAATTTAGGCCCAAGTAGAAGCCCAGTGGTAAAACTGATAACAACTCATTGTCATTGAGAGTAACCTACAAAACAGATTCATTAACAAATAGAGCAAGGAGTAACAAACTGGAACTGTATCTTGCACTTGAGTGATCTGGGAAGCTTTAGTAGATTGTTTCTGAGACAATGCTTTTCTATGGGCTCTGTTGCATAAGCACGAACTTTGACAAGCTCAAGACATGTCAAATTCTCCAGGAAATGTTTTCATTTGCTCCAAGTCTCCTTTAGTTCTCAGGTAATCGGTGATCTCTAGCACTTTCACAGGACACGAGAATAGGAAATCATATCAGGACAAGCACTCACAAACAGGTTCATATATATAATCCTCATCATCATCTTCCCACATATCCGGACAAGCACTCACAAACAGTGTCATGGATCTTAAACTGCGCTTAAAGGGTAACAATGGATATACTCTATAGTGGTATGGAATCAAACTTTAATGCGATGTTTCTGAAAAAGTTATCTTTTGCAAATTGTAACTTATTATATCAAGCTTTAACCATAGTAAATGACAGAAACATTGCATAAAAAGAAGAGATTGGAAGGAAACAATACGTCGAGTAGTTCAGTTAAACATAAGAGAAGAGGAAACTAAGGTTTTGGGATTACTTTGGTTTGGTTTGAAAACCAACTAAAAAATAACCGTAAGTCAAATTCCAAGGGGACTTTGGCAAAACTTTGTCTTTGAGTAAGTTTTGTTTTCTCAGAGAACTCTTCCTTTTGCAGTCCACTTCTCAAACAAGTAATCAGTCACAAGGAGCTGAACATTGCAACTTGAAAACTTGTTGTATTCTTCCATTATCTGATTGATAACTTTAGACACTTCAGGGAATCTGAGCTCTGTAGGATCATTCTCTTCAACATAGATGTTTATCTCCTTCAGACACGGAAAATAGACCAAGAAATGCTTTATCATTGTCATCTCTTTTATTGTTCCTCTAAATCCTCGAATCTCTAACTTCTTCACTGGACAAGATGTAAGCGAACGACCTTTGTCTTCCCGAAAAATGCAGTCACAAGCATCCCCACATTTATCCGTCACATAGTGTAAGAGACCCTGAAAGAAAAAAGGAGACAATAAGATTATTGAGTAAGAACAACATCTTTTAACACATGTTTGTCCAAGTAGTTTCATGGTTTATAACTGAACCTCAACGAGAAGAAATTCTATATATGGACATTTCCTTAGAAGAACTGGCATCGCTTGCCATCCTCGACCCTCCTCACTCGTAATACCTAATGTTTTGAGGTTGTTGAACAGCGGCACCGATTCACAGCACAGAGAAAGCACCTGAAAACAAGAAAAAAAAAATCAACTAGACATTTTGCAATTAATGTTTCACAACTAGACAAAAGAGAACAAATAGAAGACTGACCTCGAGAGTATCAGCAGTTAAGTAAAGTTTCTGAACACTTTGTATGCCATTCATGAGCTTCACCACATTGCCAAATCGGAGAATAATATCACCCTCATCATCTTCTAACGAATCATCATTTGGCGCTCTTACTCGCTTGATCTGATTTTCAGTTACTATAAAGTTGATTCGAGCCTCAAATAATGCCTTCATATTAACTAATGGATAGTCCTCCGCAACTAAATCAGAGTAGTTAAAGGAAAGCAGACTTGGAGTATCAAAAGAAATGCTCTTTGGATTTCGAAAGCCTTCACAACCGGTGCCATGAATACTTAGCTTCTTGAGGCTTGCACTTGACACGGTTTCATCCGACTCTGTCCACTCCATATTAGCCATTCGTAATTTCTCAAGGACAGGGAAAAAAGGTAGAAACCTCTCCATCTCACCACAATGAATAAATTCTGAGTCAATGTCAAGAGTCTTAAGAATTGGTAAGACAGTGCCTCTATCTCTACCGCCTCTATCTCTACGCCACCAATCAACATATCGTTCACTTCTTATTTTTAACTCAACTAGTGTCCTACTGACGAACATCTCCTCAGGCAGATAATAACCTTCTTCGATATCCTCATAAGAAAAGTCAATGAAAAGAGTAAGATCCGAAACACCACGCTGCAACACAGTAGATATCCAACGATTCACATGATCTGGATGAACACAAGTTATAGACTTGAGGGAGAATTTCTTAATGGGAGAATCACCCTGCAAAGCCAAAACTCTGTCCACGAAATCCACAAAGCTCTGACGAATTTCGACCCTTTCCCCTTTACCCTCTTCCGGATGAAGAAATTCAGAGTCATCAATGTCAAGATTAGGCACAAGTTTCCACAGATTGAGCCAGCTCTTTGAGAGAACCGAACTCAAAGCAGCTTGTTTGGTGGGAAGGAAGGACAAGATATGACAACGAACCTCGTCAGGTAGATTGCTGACACGATCCATCTTCTGTACACGAGATTAAAGTACAATATTACAAATTCATTCCGCTGCGCAGGAAATTTGTAGGCACCGTTTGAACTAAGAAACCCCTAAAAGAAAATAAAATCAGTAGAAGCAGAAGAAATGAGTAAACTTCAGCATTTACCTCGTTACAGACGACGTTTAATCCCAAAATCTTCAGAGCGAAAGTGAGAGTTGAAAGTGCTTAATCGCTGGTTTCTATGGCGATACAAGCTAAGATATGAAGGAAAGTCCAAGACTTTCACTTTCAGGTTTGACAAGACATGCAAGCAAACATCTCGGAGAAGACGAAACACCCAATTTCAAGAGCAAACGAAAGTGAGGGTTTAACATTGAAGGCTGTCTCCAAATGATGTCGAATCTAGTGTGAGTGATTGGTTCTATTTTATCCGGTTTAGATATCACTGGTTTAATTCGGTAAACAAATCAGGAATGTCCGACTCTGGGCTACGAAATTATGGTGAAACAAGATAGGCCCAAAACATTTCCACTGGGCTTCTATAGTTGGGCCTATCTTAAGAGAATTTAAACAGAGCAGCCTTCTTTTTCAGTGAAACACTGAAACATTTAGGGAGAGACCAGAGAGAGAGAGAAGAAGAAGGAAGAAGGCAAACAAACTAGTCCCAAAATATGTCAAACTAACACAACTATTTAAATGCTTGGTTCGGCCCGTTAAGTAAAGAGTTCAGCTAATACATCAATCAACCACTCAAATCAAATTGCTGGTGTAGAATCAAATCAAAACAACTCAACGAGTACACACACACGTACCAAAAAAGAAAACAGATTCTTGTTGAAAAAAGACCAACTAGGAAACATAAACTTGGATCTTGCACTTAGACGATCTTCTCGGACGTTTTAGCAGATCGGTGACGAATCGTGGCCGTCTCTTTGGGTGTGTTTCATCAGCACACACTTTAACAAGCTCGAGACATGACAATCTCTCTAAGAAATGTTCCATTGCTCCAATTCTCCTTTAGTTCCGCTGCACTTGGTTATCTCTAGTACTTTCACTGAACATGAATATAGGAAAGAATATTCCGACAAGCAATCACAAACAGATTCATCAGCTTCATACTGCCACGTATCATAATCATAGTCCACGCCATCATTACAGTGCACGGGACCCTGAAACAAGGAGGAAGATTAGTGATTGAATATTTTTTTACAATAAACTTTTTTGGTTGTTTAGGGTCCATACCTCAATGACAAGAGTCCTTAAATTTGGAGCCTTCTTTATCACATATGGTAGAGCTCGCCAGCATAATACATCCTCAGTTGCAATAGATAAATGATACAGGTTTTCGAATACCGGGATTGCTTTGCCGAAGATATAAAAACAAATTAGGAAATTGAATTCCCAATCACACTAGAACTTATATCTTGTGTAATAAGGAACCAAATAGGAAAATTTTAGGCTTTTAGAATTATCTAAGCCTAATAATATACATACTGAGTTTAATTATACATTATCCTAAGAATCCATCAAAGCAAATTACAAATGAAAATCGAATCAAAAGAGGCTCCAGAAAGTTGACAAGTTCAAACTAGGACAACAAGGAGAATCCGACAAAAGATTAACAGAGGATATAAGCGAGTAAGAGTGTTCACTATCCAAAAAGATACAACAGATAGATGCAACTAGGAGGAGCAAAGCTTTTAAGAAAACGTGACCTTGATCTTGCACTTAGAGGAAGCTCTGGGAAGCATTAATAACTTTTTCTTGTCGCCACCATGTCTTTTCGGACAATGAAGTTTCACCAATCTGAGACAGGACAGTTTCTCTAGAAAATGCTTCAGTTGCTCCACTTCTCCAGTAGTTCCACTGTAGTCGGTTATCTGTAGGACCTCTAGAGGACATGACAATAAGAAAGAATATCCCGATAAACAGTCGCAAACAGATTTAGGTCGGTCTTCATCGTAGTGCAATGGGCCCTGAAGCAAGAGAGACTATTAGAAACTGAAAATCAAGTATATCTACAAGGGGTTTTTTGCATTTGTACAATAAATTTTTGGGGTGGTTTTGATCATACATCGATGACAAGAGTCTCTAGATTTGGACACTTCTTTAGCAAAAATGGTAGAAACTCCCAGCAGAACCCATTATCATCACATGTGATAGTTAAATGATATAGGTTTTCAAATACCGGGATTGCTTCATGGAAGTAAGAAAATGCCTGAAACAAAATAAATCAATTAGTCAGTCATTATGTATGTAAAATTTTTGGATCAAGACCTCTAAGACACATTCTCATATATGTAACCAGACAGCTGGAACATCTAATGGAACCTAAGATGCACACCTGAATGTTAAAAAGATTTTGATTCTTCATATTTTTGTTTTAATCAAACTCAAATTGTAATAGCATGTCACAGAGAAAGAAGAAACAGTAGCACACTAACCTGAAATGTATTAGGAGATTGTAAGTTCATGATTTCAACATTTCTTAACCCCTTGATCAGATTAGTTGGATTGCTAGAGATAGTATCATAGTCACTTACAAATCCTTCATAGATGTGATCCACCGTCAACATAAGATCGAGCTTAGCTTCGACAAGGGAGTCAAGATTAACAATTGGATAGTCATCCGGAACAACATCAGACAAGTCTAAATAGGTAAGACTTGGAGTATCCAAATTTATTCTCGTAAACTCACACTGATAGAAATCTCCATGATTAATAGTAAGTCTTTGAAGAGTTGGACTGGATATGTTGCCAGACCATTTCCAACGTTCCCACTCCATATCTTTAATGATTAGTTCCTTGAGCACAAGGCAAGCAGAAAGAAGCTTTTCAAACGCACAACCGCGGAGATCTTTAAACCGAATATAGGTAAGAACGAGGGTTTCAAGCGCTGGTAGACAAGCATTCTCAGGGACAACATCAATAACAAAACCACCATAATTACCTCCAAGTTCCAGCTTAACGAGTGTTTTGCAAGTGAAAACCTCAAGAGGTAGTGAATATTGTCTCCCAGCACATATGTCTAGTTCAAGATCCAAGATACCACGGTTTAGCAAAGCACATATACAACGGTTGAGATCATCATAATGAGTCGGGTCAACACCTCTTCGAAACTTTAGAGAGGAACTCCTTATACGAGAACTGGCCGGCAGAGCCAATACTCCATCCGCAAACTCCATCAAATTCCCTTGATTCTTGACTGAGGTATCAAACTCAAGATTTGGTACAATGGTAAAGAGATTCTGCCACCTCTTTGAGAGAACCAATGCAAAAGCAGCCTCCTTTGCAGAAAGGAAAGATACAATGTGGCAAATAATCTCATTTGGTAGATTGCTAATCCTATCCATCCTCTTACCAAACCCTAGAAAACCCCTTTTGCTACTCAATTAATTCCAGTGGAGATCTCAAACCACAAATTCAACCCACTGCAAAATTATACAAACAAGAAAAGGAGTTTCAAAGTGGAGATAAACACACTTAACTAAATCAGACACAGAACTATACAACGACAGATATATGATAAGTAGCAAAATTACAATTGAAAGAGATGAGAAATCTTTCGATACCAACCTTGCTACAGATGCGAAGACAGAAGAAGAAACCTTAAACTTTGAACTCGAGAGGACATGCAAATGCATCTAAGAAACTGACAACTTATTAGAGAAACAGAGAAGAAAGCGAAGTGTCTAGTAAGAAATTGCACGCCTTTTTACGCACTTGCTTCATATCTGTGTTTCCACGTGGCACACAAAGTCGAACTAAAATTTTGGTTTATGGATTGGTTATACTTTATTTCGCTAGTACCGGTTAGCGAACCAAGTTACCCAAACCGGTATAAACCGAAAACCAGAAATTATGGATTCGATTATATTATACTCAAGCAGAGGAAGCAGAGGAAGCAGAGGAAGCAGAAGGAATCATGCCGGCTTTTCTTGCATAAGCGAAGATTCCACCGGCGTCGATCACCGGACCGGCATCACCTAGCGGTTTAAGTTTGTATTCTTTCCTCGTCGTATGATTGATCAGCAAACTACTACCGTCTTCCTTGTGTTCGATGGTCACCACATCCCCTGTTTTGCACTCGTCGCAGATCCTAACCTCCGATTCCAGCGGGAAGATCTCACCAGTAGCTACACAGTTCCTGAAGAAGATCCTAGCGTACGACTCCGCCACCACGGCTTTAGCTCCCGCCGCGCCGAGGCAAACCGGAGCGTGTTCGCGGGAAGATCCGCAACCGAAATTATCGCCGCCGATGATGACGGAGTACTTTGATTTCATCTCTCCTGGCTCAACGAAACGTTCATTGTAGAATTTTGGTAAGCCGTTAAGCGCGAAAGAGCCGAGCTTTTCGCGATCTTCTGGAATCGAAGGGATGAGAGTGCCGTACTCGGCGGGGATGATTTGATCGGTGTCGATGTTGTCTTTCAAGACAAAGCAGAGGCCGTGGAAAGTCTCCCTGGATTTTGACTCGCCTGAATCGGAGGATGATACGGCGGCGCGTGTGATGATTGTAGCAGAGGAGGAGGAAGTAAGTGGTTTGAAATTGAAAGTTGTGGAGGTGGACTTGAGTCGAAAGAAAGGAGTAGGCGAGTTTTTGTTTGAGGAAGCTAAGGATTTGAAGAGTGTAGGGTTTAGAAATTGCTGAGAAATCGCCATTGTTGTGCTACTTCGTAAGTGAAGCAGAAAATGAAACAGAGTAATTTATAGAGGGAATGTGATTATACAATTTTTAATTACGACTATAAACTAGTATTCACGAAAATGCCATTTTAAGTCCTAAACGTGCGTATTGAGACACCAAGGTAGGTCGTTGTGTAATAAAACGTGGACTCTTTCATTGTTATCTGTTTATTACTCCAAGATATGAATTTGATTTTTTCAGAAAATATGAATGTGAGATTCATGGATTTATATGAAACGATTGAAAAGCAAGAACTTAGAAGAAAAGAAAAAAAAACAGAAATTGGAATTGCTAAAAGTAACAAAAATACAAAACTTCACGACTACTACTGTATTTGCGAGTTGCGACAAATCCACAAATTGGAATTTTGTGATGGTTTTGCTAAATCTGGTTTTAGGATGAAACAAAAACTATTTTATGATTTCATACGCATATTAGCCTAACTTAAAGGTTCGTTATGTTTAGCTCATAAATATACTAATCTGGGAGTAAGAATTATAGTATTATACTATTATGTCAAATTTTCAATTAAAAACTTTAACATTTAATTAATCAACATACGGTATACTATCACATATATTAATTGCTGGATTAATATCAAATGGAAAGCCCACGAAGGCTTAAAATAAAGAAAGAAAAAAGCCCACGGCTTCCACTAGTCCAAGCGGTGCGTTTTAACCCAATTCCTCAAAAAGTAAAACGCAGCGTTTTTAGAAACCTTACTGATCTTGAAAGTTCAGATAAATTCAAGAAGAAACTGTTTCATTTCTTTCATTTCTTCTCTTCTTCACTCTCCGTCTCTGGGTTCTTTTCTCCTAGATTAAGCTCCAAAGATCGTTCTCGTATATTTCAGAATCCTCGCTGAATTTGTGGTTTGATTGGAACGGATTGTTTCGCTAGTGCAAGAAGATGAATAGGATCAGCGATCTACCTGATGAACTAATTAGTCTAATCGTGAGTACTCTTGCTGCAAAGGATGCTGCGTCTTTGCTGGTTACCTCTAGGAGGTTTGGGAGTATCTATAGCATCATACCAGATCTTTATTTCAATGACAAATTTAAGTTTCAGGGGACTTTCACGAATCTTGTGAGTCAAGCAATGGCTCGGCTTGAAACTACAACGTTCATAAGAAGATTCTCTTTAAAATCTGAAAGGGGTCTTGATCCAAATCGTATCAACCACTGGCTACGTAATGTGTTGAATCTTCGTGGAGTCATGGATCTTGAAATGGGCATACACGGTGATAATGGATATACATTGCCTTTGGAGATCTTCACTTGCAAGACTGTCAAGAAGATGGAACTAGGGAGAGAAATTGTTATCAGTGTGCTGCCTCAGAATGCTTTGCTTCCAGCGCTTGAGACTCTCATTTTTGACAACGTTCGGTTCTGTAATCTTGCTGATTGTGCGTTCAAGGCGTTTCTTTCGGCTTGCCCTGTGCTTAAGGAACTAACCATTGATGGTATGTACTGGGAAACTTGGGATTGGTCAGGCATAGTGTCTAGTCAAAGTCTTCAAAGACTTACTATTGGTCGTGTATTGCCCGACGGTTTTAATGGGCCTGATCATCAGAACATTACTTTTGATACTCCAAATCTTACTTACTTAGAGTACAATGATTTTGTCCCGGATGGGTATACAATTCTTAGTTTTGAGTCCCTTGTAGAAGCTAAGCTCCATCTTCTTGTGATGGTAAATCACGAATGGCATGGACAGTTTGCAGAAGATGGTGATATCTTGTCTAGCAATGCAACAAATCTGATTCAAGGGATAAGAAATGTCCAGATCCTGCAATTATCATCTCCTTATATGTTTGAGGTGAGTGTGTTATTGTTTCTCTTTTACTATTCGTTTATTTTGTAATTGCTATTTACGGCTTGAGATAGTAATAGAACATGAATAGGTGAATCAAGCGTGCAACTTGCAAACGTATTTCCAAATGTTCTGTTCCAAACAAATTGCAGTTTTGATAACCATAGTTGTTTTTGTTTGATTTCAGACACTTTACTTCTTCCGTGATGCAATTCCGGTATTTGAAAAGCTACATCATTTAACTATGACACATGATGATACGGTATTCTGTTGGAGATTTCTTCCCTTTTTGCTAAATAGGACTCCAAATCTGAAGACCCTTGTTTTCGAGGTATGACAGTGTATTTTGGACAGTCCACACTTTCCAAAACCTCCTGGTTATATACTCCTAATTTTCAATCTCAAATCCTTCCTCTTGTTGCAGGGTGGACTGCACTATGCTGAAGAACCTGATGATGTTGAAGAACCTGACGATGTTGAAGAACATGACTATGTTTGCGGGTGTATGTCGGGATATTCTTGTCTATTGACATGTCCTCTAGAGATCTTGGAGTTAGACTTATGGGAGCACGGCACTATTGGTGAATTGGAGCAAATAAAACACTTCTTAGGAAAACTCTCCCGTCTTGAGTTGTTGAAAGTTCATTCTCGGGAAAGATTAAGCAACAAGGAAAAGTTAAGAATCGTCACGGATCTGCTAATGCTTCCAAGAGCTTCGCCCAAGTGCAAGATCCACATCAGTTTTACTTAAAAAATACCAACTCAAGCGTGAAGAACAGACTTTGGTTATCCTAGTTGCAGTAGTCAGTTTTGTGCACAATCTTTGTCCCATTTATCTCTAGTTACACTCTGTGGTCTTTTATTGGATTCTCCTAGTTATCTTGAGTCTGATTCAATCTACTTTCTAGCCATGTTTTGATTTCGCTTCGGTGGGTTTTTAGTTTTTGTAAATGTTTCAAATTGTACTTTCGAACAAGCCAATATCGATCACTTGGGGCTGTTCGCATAACGCTCTGTTTTGCTGTGTGATATTGAGGAGAATCCTTGAAACGACGCTGTTTCGGTATCTCATCAATGAAAACAAACTTTTGATTCTACTAGTTAGTACATAAAACCGTTTAATGTTCCTTTAAACCACAAATAAACAGAGCGTTAAGCAATGCAGTGAATAACCGTTTTCAACAGTTAAGCCCAGTTTGATAGACAAGATACCACGCTTGAGCACATTACATAGAAAACGGTTGATAAGAACAGGATCAACACGCTCTCGACATCTTATAGAGAATTTCCTTATGCGAGAACAGAGAGGCAGAGCTATTACTCCATCAACAAAATCCATCAAACTCCCCTGAATCTTAGACCAGTCCTGGAAATAAAGACTTGGTATGATGGTAAACAGATTCTCCCACCTCTTTGAGAGAACCAATGTGAAAGCAGCCTCCTTTGCCGAAAGAAAGGACACAATGTGGCTAATGAGCTCCTCAGGTAGATTGCTGATCCTATCCATCTTCTCCTCCAAACCCTATATAACTCTTTTACTACTCGAATCAGAGTTTTTCAGCGACTAAACTCCAACATCACCCGCAAAGTAAATAATCCCTGAACCAGTTTTCTTCCCAAGAAACAAACAGAGAAATGCCCCCACCATGAATGAATCTCTGGAAAGAAAAATCTGTTTCGGATTGAAAATAAATACATTGATTTAAAGAAATGAGACAGAGCAAAAATACGAGAAATAAGCTTAGGTATCTGTCGGCAAATTACCAAAGCAGAAAGAAGAAGAAAACTTCAACACCTACCTAATACCTTCTTACTAGAGAGAGTGAAGAAGAGAGAGCATAAAATTTCACTCTTTCCAAATGCAAAACATCCAAAACGCAAGGAAATCTTCTGAATTGGTTCGGTTTGGTTCGGTTTGGTTCTAAATTCTTGGTGCTTGAATTGCTTTTCCGTTTGGACACAAAAAAAATCAAGCAGTCCCGGTTTGTTTACCGAGTTTAACCGGTGGGATTTTAAGGAACCGGGAAAATTAGAACCAACATGACATCTTCAAATTTAAACCCCATCAATTTCATTTTCTGTTAAACCGGTGGATTTTAAGGAACCGGTAAAACAGAACCAACAAGATTGACATTTTCAATTTCAAACCCTCAATTTCGTTTTCTGCCGTCTTCCTCTCTTAAAAATTGAGACCCTTTGCCTTTCGCGGGGCCTCTTCGCGAACCAGCGATTAAGCACTCCCAACTCTCACGTTCTCGCTTCTCAGTGAAATCATCAAATTTGGGGTCTTGGAACGAGGTAGATACCGAATCTTACTCATCTCTTCTGCGTCTACTAATTTTATTCTCCTTTTGGGGTTTTCTTAGTTCAAAGTTTCCTTTTGGTGGATTTCTGTTTGGTAATCATGTTCTAATAAAAGCTTTGAGATTTGCATACTGAATATACCTCTTCTTTCGTGCAGAGGAGATGGATCGTGTTGGCAGTCTACCAGACGAGCTTCTTTGTCATATATTGTCCTTCCTTACCACAAAGGAGGCTGCTTTGACTTCGATTCTCTCCAAGAGGTGGCGCTATCTTCTTGCATTTGTTCCTAATCTCGACATTGATGACTCTGTATTTCTTCATCCGGAAAAGGGTAAACGAGAAAGGGATGGAATTCTAGAGAGCTTCATGGATTTTGTAGATAGGGTGTTGGCTCTGCAGGGTGAGTCTCCCATTAAGAAATTCTCCCTCAAGTGTAGAACTGGTGTTGATTCAGATCGTGTGGATGCTTGGATAAGTAATGTTCTACGCCGTGGTGTTTCAGAGCTTGATCTATTAATCATTTTAGGTATGACTATGGAAGATAACTATCGGCTGTCGCCAAAAGGTTTCGAGAGCAGGACACTAGTTAAGCTGAAAACAGACTGTGGAATTGATGTTAGTTGGATGGCTGGGAGCATTTTCTTACCAATGCTTAAAACTCTAGTTCTTGACTCGGTTTCGTTTTATGTTGATAAGTTTGAGACTCTTCTTCATGCTTTGCCTGCGCTTGATGATTTAGTCCTGGTTGATGTTAACTGGTTAGATTCGAATGTCACCATCTCAAATGCAAGCCTCAAGACCCTAACAATAGACTCCGATGGTCATTTAGGCACTTTTTCATTTGATACACCTAGTCTTGTTTATTTCTTTTACTCTGATTATGCTGCGGAAGACTATCCCGTAGTTAAAATGGAAAACTTACGTGAGGCTCGAATCTTCCTTATGGTTAGTGATGAAGAGATTGAGCGAGTGAGAGCGCCAAATAATGATTTGTTCGAGGATGATATGGACAATGTTGTTCTCCGATTTGAACATGTGGGGAAGCTTATGAATGGCATACGAAATGTTGAGTATCTGGACTTGTCTGCTGATACTCTCGAGGTCAGTTTTCTTTCCTTTTTCACTTTTAATTTTTTTTGTCATCTGGTCTCGAGGATATAACAGAAAGTAATTAGGACTTGGTCTCAATTCCTGGAGCACAGTGGTCATATTATTGGTCCCATTTGGAATGAACCTGACTAGGCATCTTTTGATTTGTAACTCAATTCACTTTGATCGGTTCTTAGTTGATGTTTTAACTTTTCATATGTAATTGCAACATGTTTAGTTGTGTTCTATCCTGTTTCAGGTGCTTTCTCTATGCTGTGAATCGATGCCCGTGTTCAAAAACCTCAAATCGTTAGCTATTAAAAGTAACGAAAGCCGAGGATGGCAAGCAATGCCAGTTCTTCTAAGGAACTGTCCACATTTAGAATCTCTAGTCATTGAGGTATAAAAACAAACCATTTGCCAAACATGTACAGAGATAGAGTTCATACTTTGAATCTCTTATTGTTTTCGTTATGCTTTCAGGGACTCTTGCATCATGTCACAGATAAATGCGGGGATGCTTGTGACTGCGTTTCTCGGGAGGACAAAGGTCGTTCGCTGACATCTTGTCCAGTAAAGACGTTAGAGATTCATGGGTTTGGAGGGACAAAGATAGAGATGCAAATGATAAAGCATTTCTTGGACTATTTTCCTAGTTTGAAGGAGATGGAGATATATGCTGACGAGGATGGTCCTACAAACCTCGAAGCTCCTGGGATGTTTGAAAAAATTGCGCATCTTTTTACACTCTACGACCAGGTTTATACTTGTGATGTCCAATTTATGGTGCGTGGTTCCTTTTATAAGAAGTTGACTGCACAATGATGTGTCTTCAAGGAAGAAAACTTACCTCATAGATTGGTCCAACTCTCCTTCGGACTCTTTGTTAGAAGCTTAAATGTATACCAAGTCGTTTCAGTTTTTTATATCTCTTACATTTTCTGCCCCGTTATTCAGAATAGTTTGCTAGATCTTGTCGCTTATCTCTCTTCCTATTTCTTCTCCCAATTTGTAAACCCTACGTTGTCACAATCTTTTCCTTGATCATATGGAGAGAAATATTTGATTACAGATACACATAAGAACTGTTTGAAGAAGAAAAAGAAGAAAAAGAAGAAGAATAATGCTCTGTTTTGAAAGTCAACCCTTCAGAGCCATACTATTGAACGTACAGAACATTTTGGAGCAAAATACTTGCAGATGACAATGCTCCCTAGTACTAATAATCCAGCAAACCTGACAAGCGAAACGTGAAAGAGCATACTCTGATTCTCCTTGTTGCTTAAGTAAATAAAACCTGAATCTGTTTTCTTTGTTTTACCATCTGTCAGAGTTTCCTCGTCTAACATATCATTTTCCTTGTTGCTTAAGTAACTGAGGTGCGAATATAAGGGTTCACTAGGGTTTGAAGGAGGGCTAGGGCTTGAGGGAAAGAATAGATATGATCAGCTGTCTACATCGAAAGATTTAAACATGCATGTAACATTATCAGACTGAATGAGATGATCCAATGAATTTAAAAAGAAACAACAACGTATTATTAGCTACCGAGAGATTCATAGGAACTAATGATTAACAACCTTCAGCTTGCAGTGTGGCGAAGCTCTCGGGGCCATCTCCAGTGCCTCGGAGACTTCAGAAGGACCACAATCCTCCTCTATGAAGGAATCACAGTGTAATACGATGATCACTTGTTCAAGCCGAGGCAACTTCTTGAGGAAATGTTCGACTAATGACATCTCTCCACAGGTTGCACCAAAGTCCAATATCTTCAGGATCTTCACAGGACATGATGATAAACAACAAGAAGAAGGAGGAGAAGGAAGAGAGATGCAGTCACAAGCATCTCCACATCCATCCGTGACACGGTGGTGGAGACCCTGAAGAAGGAGCATAAATAAACCAAAATAAAAATGTGTAATTGATAACATATAAAAAGTTAAAACAGAGTTTTTGTTTCTGCATGTATACTTACATGGAAGACGAGAGTTTGTAGATTGGGGCAGTTGATGAGCAAGAGAGGCAATGCTTGCCATCCTCGTTCATCGTCACTTTCAATAGATAAATGATTCAGGTTGTGGAATACCGGTACCGTCTTACAAAAGTCTTCAATCACCTGAAAACACATCAGTAAAACTTGTTGGATCATCAAAAGGCTGGTAAGTAACAAGTAACCATAAAATAAGAAAGATGAAAGAAATAAAACCTCAATTGTATCAGAAGTTAAGTGAAGGGTTTGAACATTCTGTATCCCCATTATAAGATTGGTGGCATCCCAACGAACTTCATATTCCTCTGAATCTCTTGCATGCATCTGACTTGTATTCGATCCAACATCGAGCCTAGCTTCAACAAGGGAATCCAATTTGACAAGCGGATAGTTTTCCGCAACAAAATCTGAGTAGTTTAAGTAGAGGAGGTTTGGAGTATCAAACGAAACATTGCTAGGACTCGCAGTACCGAAGTCGGAGTCTACGGCCAGAGGCTTATTAGAGTAGAACTTTCCAGATGCCCTGCGCAAGATTAAACAAAACGTGCCATCTTAATATGTTTTTTTTTGTTAATGAACTCTTTGAAAAGTAAAAAAAAAAATGACGTTAACAAATGTAAGGCTCTAAGACGATGGCTTTACTTACATCTTCTCTCGACGGAACTTGAATATGTGACTATCCATGGGTGGGAGGTAATGTTCACCATCAA